TTGACTGTACGGACAGTTGATTCGGACGTCATTGTCATTCTTCTCGCCTTTATGCCCCAGTTCCTTAAGATCGACCCTGACTTTGAGCTTCATGTTGATTATAACTCTGGAACGAACAGGAAGAACATACATGTCAATGTTTGTTATGAGTCACTAGGGGAGGACGTCTGCTTAGCCTTGCCATTCTTCCACTGCTTCACTGGCGCCGATTCTACCTGCTTTTTCTACAAGCTGACCAAGAAGATGTGGTTTTCTCAATGGAATAAGTGCTCGACGAGGGATGAACTGACCAATGAAGGGAGGTATTTAAACAACTAGGCTGGTGCCCAGCAGAACAAGTCATCCGCAGCACAGAAAAGATACTTGTGGATTTGTGTGCTATGTATACTCAAAGAGGGCTGTGTACCAATATCTCAATGAACTGCGGTTCTCAATGTTCCAGGCCTCAGGTTCTGATGAGTTAAGGGACCTCCCACCTTTATTGGATTCCTTCAGACTGGCGGTACGTCGCAGCGCCTATCAGGCAGGATGGGTGTGGGGTAACACCCTCACTCAGATCCCCAGCCCTCCTCTTGAGATGTGTGGATGGAAACTCTATCAGAACCAACTCCACATTCAATGGACAACGGACGCAGCAAGACCAAACCTCGAGATCGTGACTCAAGTGCCTGTCATGCAAATGCGCTAAGAACAATGTCATGTGCCTTTCTTTCTGCACTTGCACCAGGAAGTGCATAAATCTCTAATTGAAGCATGTACAGGATGATATGCAGTCAGTGTAGACTGTGTATGTAACAAGTGACCGAGGACGATTGCGGACTGTCAGTCTGTCAGATTTTGACTACGTGTACTACTACCAGGTGAAACCGAATTTCCAGGAGTCTGAAAGTGTATCATGTGTATCTAATAAATCCTTTGACCTCAAAGCCCCAAAATTGACTCTAACTTTTTGAGAAAATAGCCGAGATATGTGAAAACCTATTTTCGGGCCCGCGAGGTGAACCCGAAGGAACGATATCACGTGACCTATGCCCAATCGATTCCTTGATGTTTAAAACCCCTAAATCGACTCTAACATTGCTCAAATCGACCAAAGAAGGGCAAAGATATGGCAAATAACAGTTTCGGGTCCCTTCCCGGGCCCATGGGGGAGGGGGGTTACCGGGGTCAAATTTTTGGGCTTCTCAAAAAAATTCTTAGTTGAGGAACATATAAACCCAGATTTGATACCCAAAAATGTCTTTCATAATTTGCAGGTAAATATGCATAAGCCTCCTGACTATGAGGCAGGATCAGGCGATTAATGTTCAAGTGATTGGCCAAGAGCGGAAGACCGTTATTTCACTAGACATGGGTCTCTACATGCCGGCTAAAAAGTTGCGGATGGCTCGAGGTGACCTCAGCAACCTGATTCTTCGCACTGGCAAGTTGCATATCGTCATGGCCCAGTTGAAGACTATCGGCGCTTACATCGAGAGCAGCGGAATCGACATGGCTTGGATTGAATCTGACCTCTATGGCTCATCGACAGTTAGACAGATTGTTGAGGGTAACCATGTTAAGAGAGCTGAAACAGCACACCCTATAACTTTGCAAGCCTTATTCAACCTTTACCAACAAGTCTTCCTGGAGCAAGAAACAGGTGAAACCAAAGGGCGTCTGACGCAGCTGGCGAGCCAGTTGGAGGAAGCTTGCACAAGCGGAGAGAGCGGAAATGTAGCGCAGGTGCACAAGAACATGGCAGATGCTGTAGAAACATTGGATATCATGACTAAAATGTTAGAGTTCGATGAGAAGCACGCAAGCAAACCAATGTTCAAGGTCTTTTGGAGGTACATGGAAATGGTTTTAGAGTTGATGATGTTTATTCGCGCCGTTCGTACTGCTGCCTGGGATCTCCACCTAAAGACCCTCGAAAGGTTCACAAAGTCCTTCTTGGCCCATGATCGACTTAACTACGCTAGGATGATCCCTCTGTATCTCGCAGAAATAAAGTCTCTCGAGACAAGTGACCCCGACATCTACAGCGAGTTCAAGAATGGCAGCTGGATTGTGAACAAGAACCCCGTCGTTCCTTTTTGTGGGCTTGGTGCGGACAACGCCCTGGAGCATCTCAATCGCTCGATGAAAGTTAGTGGATGATTAGTTGGTATAACCCTGAATCCTAATGCTCGCGCAAAGTTCTTTTTGATTGCTTTAGAACTGGCTCAGTTGGCTGAGCAATTGAGATATATGGCAGGCGCGTTCAGTAAAATCCTTAGTCATCATCACAACCTTACCACCGCCGCGTTGTTCCGTGAAGAAAAGAATGTCAACAAGCTAACCGCAACAATCGCAAGCTACACTAACCCCTTTGATCAGTCTGGAGATAACTTGTTCAATCTTGTCACCAAAGTGGTAGTATCTGAGAAAACGAAACGCGTACGCGGATAAACTTGGTTGAGAAGGAGGCGCCACCTGTCTCTTCCACTGATGAGAATGATGAGGCAAGACTCCCGGTGCATCGAATGAAAGCAGTCCTTGTGAATGGAATGGCGGAGCTGCAATCGCTGGACAAACCGGCCTACATAGCTACGTGCGCTCAACTTGCCGAACACTTCACTGACAAGCTTCTCTTCAAGTTCTCTGAAAGCAAAGAGATTCACTTGGTTTTTGACCGTTAAAGTCAGCTACACGCGTCCGTCGGCAGGGAGATCAAGCGCCGATTTACTACCGAATATCAGACACGACCTCATATAGCAAAGTCCCAGAAACGCCTACGTCAACCACTTAAGGAACCAGATAAAGATACGAATATCTTGAGCCAAGGTTACTTCAGAGCACGAAAAGAGATGGCAAGGATCTCGATTGTCGCCTGGGGTATGAATGTAAAGAACCCATCGAGATGTCGCGCACCTTCCGCGGTAGTCAGGAGGAACAGCAGACACGAGATCAATGCTGCCACGCCATTGATGTACTAGACGAGGAAGCTACAGAAATCCATACTGTTTCTCGCTCGGATCGGATGTATTATTTTTGTGCATAGACGCATGCTTGAACTTTGTGCAACATAATTGTTACGAGGAACTGGGCAGCGACGGACGGCGTTATCAAACTACGCCCATAGCACAAGCTCTGGTTCTTCAGAGGTAGCAGGCGTACCGGCCATCATGCATGAGTGTGCTGATGTTGACTGGTTGTTTTGCTGGCAAAGAAAAGGCCACGTGGTGGAAGATCTTTCTAGAATCAGATAAAGAAGTTTTTGACACGCTTGCAAACATGGGTTCTCCAAATCAGCCGACGGTGCAGACGCTCAATACTCTCGAGAAGCTTGTATGCAAGGTCTACGCCCCCAAATAAAAGGAGCTCAGGTGTTCTCCTTTCCGGAAAAATCAAGCACAATCAGAGAAGTTGCCACCCACCCATGCCGCATTTCGCGAAGGCATAAAGAGAGCCTGTTATCAAGAGAAAGTATGGAGTGCCGATTTTGTAGCGAATCCACAACTTCCTTCCCCAGAAGAGTATGGCTGGAAGCCAGAAGGCGATACCTGGGTACCCGTGATGACGAGCTTGCCTCCCGCACCGGATGCTGTTATTGAGTTGGTCAAGTGCAATTGCTTAGCAAGTCGGTGCTCAACGAACCGATGCACGTGCGGAAAAGCTAACCTCAACTGTACTGAATTATGTGGCTGCTCCGGAGACAGTGACCTATGCGAGAATCGCCTAGAAGATGAGTACATTCATGATTCTAACTCTACATCAGAAGTGGATGAGGACTGATCCCTATAATGCAATGCATGCCGATTGGTTTATGGTCTAGCCATGTCCAACTCGCTGAGGTTAGTAATCGCTAAAAGTTTGGCCGAATTTTATTTTTTTTTAAGTTATAGCCATTTATATATCAGAGCCTCGATTTCGTGCCAGATATGTCACGTGATCGTTTTGGTAAAATATTATGTTCTAGCCTTGTCCAACTCGCTGAGGTTAGTGATTGCTAAAAGTTTGGCCGAATTGTATTGGAAATAAAAAAAGTTATAGCCATTTATATATCAGAGCATCGTTTCCATGTTAAAAAATTGTGTTGTTTCTAAAACATTCCCTAAAATAGCCCGGTACAAGTTTCAATGTTGCCAACGTATATTTTCATGTTCTATATTGTCCCCTCGATCGACACATGCATCTAGCCTAGCTGTTGGCTTGTAGCCTGGAATTCCCACGGGACTTAAATTTATGACATTTACTCCCTGACTAGTTTCTAGATATGCCACCCTCTAAATTAAATGATTAACATTGGCCCTAAGTCATTTCCTTTGGGCGACAGGTCGCCGACGTGTCCGCGCCCCATCCCTGCATGTACATTGGTATATAGCAAGAGACATTCGTCAGAGCAATGCCACCACATTGAAGAAACAAGGGTGCACTTTTCGATGCGTACTTTAGGATTATTTAACGAAATATTAAAGATTATTTGCGATTATTTACTGCTAATGCTATGTAGGTAGTTGCGCAATGATTGCTGATCGGGATCCTCTGACTGAACCGATCAGAACTATTAGATGGAATCACTGTCAAACTTTGATGGAGGAAAACAGCTACAATTGACGATTAAAACGGAATTATTTGAAACACTTGATTGGTTTATAGTGCGATACGAGAAGTAATGAAGAATAGTGGAGATTAAAATCGGTCGGATATTCTGGAAGATCCGGAAATTTACAGGACACGGGAAATTCCGTTGTTTACTATTCAGTATTGTGTCTAGGCCTTGCATTAGTTCTCT